GATTTAACTCGATTTCCTTCTTCTCACTGGCTTCTATGGTTGAATCATAGGCTTTGAAAATGATCTTCATGTTTGATTAGATCTGAGTTAGATATGGTTTACAAACAGATAAATTGAAATTATTTTTAGTAATCATAATTTTTACCTATTGAATGATGTTTCTCCCTGGTGGATCGTCCGTAGCCATGTAGCAGTAGTTAGGTTCAACATCTTCATCTTCCTTTTCAGATCCGGATAACCAGTATCCTTCATCACACTTTATTTTTTGCTGAGCCATGAGACACATGTTTCTTCCAGTTATTAACTCATCATCATCCCCAGATGACCAGTAGTCTTCCATATCTCTCGAAACCGTTGTTACAAATGCTTTTTCACTTTCAACCATCTATTGAGCTTTGCATGTCCACACTTGTGACACACAATTTTTGTTTTGTCCGATTTGGAACTCTAGGAGGGTTCCAGAGCAGAGTTTGGTTTAGAGAGTTTCGATTTGTATGTGGGAGGATTTTCCGAAGTTGATTTATGTTACGAGGCTAAGTGTGTTTGAGGATTGATATGGTGAGGAGCTTGAAATCTATTTGGTATGGTTTGAAGGAAGGGTTGAAAGGACATTTTTATTTCATTGAGAGAAGAGCAAACTCCTATTAAAAACGTAGTTCAGAGTCCATGGCTTCGGAATCATCTGTAGGATAGATTTGTGTGGGTGAAATGGGTATGGATTGAACAGATGGAACAATGGATTTTGTAACGTCCGCGTTTCCAGGCTAGGCATTATCATTGATGTAATAGTCTAGGTTAACCCTTGTAACTCTTTTTGGATTATTAATGATGAAATATTTGAGTATTACGTGAATTATGTGAATTATGTGTTTATTTTCTTAATTATTATGATTTAATGAATTAAGAATAAAATAAGCATCCAAATTAAAGTATGAGATAAGCCCGATATCTTTGCATAAAGATGTAGTGCTCAAAACAAGGATTCCGAAGATATAAAGAATGCCTAAATCCGAGTTATAACGAACAAGTGCCTAAAAAGAACCAACAACACTGAATGACGTAAAAAGTGAAATTTACGTTAGAGAAATATTTAGCCTTAGTGATCTAAACGAAAGTCATAGATTTCGTTAAACCGAGAGTGTGCCTAAAAAGAACGCCCAAATCTGACTTCGTATGAGGAAGATATGATTTTTTGAAGTTTATTAAATATTTTCGATATTTAATTTAAATATAAATTATCCGATATTATCCAAGGGGGGGAGTCAGCGAGCTGATCCTCATTACGCCCAACGTAATTTCAGATTACGCCCAGCGTAAATCGAAGTTCCAGCCCCTATAAAAGGATATCGAGGGCAACCGAGTTCTTTGCTCATTTCTTCCCTTTTTCTCGCGTTTTTGCATCGTGTTTCATGCAAGAATTATCCCGAAGCCCCGGTATCATTCCTGAGCCCCGAAGCAAGTCCAGAAGCCCCGAAGATCCCGAGAAGTGCAATTCCCGAACCGATGCTCTGCCCGCATGGAGTCCGGTTTTTGTGAAGATCTACCAGATTTGCCGAAGAATACTACTTCTACAAGTCGTAGTGCTGTCCGATCATCTTCTGATCAAGTGAGTGTGTGGTTACTTTCTTCTAACGCATAATTATGAAGTATTTTATACGAAATACGTGTTATGTGTATATTTTGTATTATATGTGTGAATGTATGTTCATTTTCTTCTATCTCATAGATATGATTTATTCTCTATGAAATACGTGTTATGTGTAAGTGTCTTATCTGTTGTTTTGGAATATGTATTGAATGATAATGCTATGCAGGTTTTAAACTATGTATAAAAATATATATTTTTATCTACTAATATGTCGGGTAGAATATGGGTAGATAGTTGTGTGATAAACAGATGAGAGGCCTCGATGTTGTTTTTGATTCAGTCATCTAGCGGAGTTCAGATGAGAGGCCTCGATGTTGTTTTTGGTGGAATTAAATATAATTATTTATTATGGGTTGAAAACCCTATATGCTCACCAGGCTCCCAAGCCTGACCCACTCAGTTTATTTGTATTACCAGAAGTGGTGCAAGGGCATAAGATGGATGAAGCATCAAGTTCTTTTGTTTACAAGTCTGTATATGTATATATTTGTTGAATGACTTGTAATGTTATCGTTTATGCTTTATGGTCTGTATCGGAACATGACATCCCGAGTTTTGATTATATAATGAAAATAAATTTGTTTATGAAATGCTTTGGTAAATATTATTTTATCATACTTTGTTTTTGGGAACAAATACCGCAACTCTTTCAAATCAAAAGGATTTACTCTGAAATTATTTTAAAAGCATAAATGAAAATCGTTCTTTTCTAGCCGAGATTTTTGGGATGTCACAGATTTGAAGGAATCCGGAGTAGACAGGTTCAGAATGGTTGAATCAAAAGAACTGACTAAGGAAAGGGGTCCTCCAGAGAGTTCCCTTATGGTTTGTGCAACATTAGATTCATGTCCTTGAAGCTCATCAAAGAGTTGCTAGAGCTTCAACTTTTTCAAGGAACCATTGCTTTGCAAACAGAATTTCACATTTCCCCATCCTTTTCCTAGACTGTTTATGAATTTGAGATTGTACTCTAATGGAGTTCGGACAATCCCATGAGCAGTCATGTTGTTAACCATGATTCGGTAAGGGTGGGAGGCAGATGCCACAGATTCGCCAGGAGTGGTTGTGAAGGTATCAAATTTGCTGATGACTGAAGTAAGGCGCTTGTCTTTCATATTTTTTGAAACTTTAATCAGGTCCTGAAGAGTGTCCTAAATCTCTTTGGCTTATTTGCACAAATTGATGTGCTCGAAGAGTGAGGGAGGAACACCAAACACGAATCTGATAAAGAAACCTGATCAGCATGCAGCTTCTCAATATCATCTATAGTTAGAGGAGCTAGATGATTTTCATCTTGACCCATAAGCTGAGCAGCAACATCTCTTACAGTGGTTCTTACAGGAACATGAGGACCTTCTGTGATAGATCTCCAAATTTCTTCACCTTTATCTTTGTCTAGTAGAAATCTTTCCATTCTAACTTTCCAGTGATCATATTCTTCCATAACTAGTAACAGGGCACGTGTAGGGCCACCCACACTATTTGCGATTTGCATTGAAATCATTTTCTAAGGATTAGAAGTAGCCATTGAAGTTAAGATATCTTCAAGCTAAAGTGGTATATAGAAGATCATTTATCCTTATCACATATATGGTTGAAATACCAGGGTAAATTCAAACTAATTATAATCTGATCTTATGGATTCAAAGGACAACCACTCAAGCTCTGATACTAATTGAGAGAACAATAATGATATGATGCGCAAGGACAAGGTTTGAGAATTCAAACCTTGAGTGAATCCTTAATATCAATGTTTGCTTGCTAATATATGTTCAAGTCAAGCCTGGAAGGACCAGTCAAGTCTTAGATAATGTTTTCAACAAATGATCAAGTCATTGAATGAAGAATAAGAATAAATGATCAAAGTAAAGCTAATAAATGAAGAAAAAGAAGAATTTTTTGAAAGAAGTTTGAAACAACTTAGTAAAAGCCAAAAGTTGAGTGAATGATCCGTACTTGACTTTGCATTGAAAGCTCCTATAAATAGGAGAGACGGTTACAACAAATTAACTAGAAAGCTTACATAGGACTGGACAATAGAAATGTTTATGACATTCTGATTGTCTAATATTACAATAAAACTAGGTCTTATGAAACGTTACATCAATACAAAGACAAAATTCATAAATGCATAAAGACAAAACAAGGTGATTTCGGATCAGCACCCATTTCGGACATGAGAGTCATTCCGGAATGTCTTCACGTTAACTTTTCTTCTTCTTCTCCTCTTTTGGTCCGGACAGATTCCTTACCACTCTTCATATTTCACTCCGGACCATCATCAATTTCGGAATATCTCTACTTCGGAATTTAAGCTTAGGATTGCTAAGGGTTCACTTTCACGTTCCAACATAATAGGTGTTGGATTGATTTGGAAGGGAGGTTTGTTTTGAATGATAGTGTGTTCTACGTACACATTTTTAATGTTACCAGTTTCATCCTTGTTATTACTACTGCAAATATTTTGTACCACGTTTAGTGAGTATGAGTGCTCCGATTATTAGCAATGAAACTTCATAATATAGTCCCCACCAGGCCCCTCTATAATCGCTTGGTGTATACAAGTCATGTATAATTAAGATTGGTAAGACCGCCGACTGAGGGACTCTGCCCTAAATCCAGAACCAAATAAGGAACAGGAAATAAGGCAAAATCACACACTCTAAGCCTTTAAAATCTCAATTATATATGACCCTAATGTATACACTAATCCATCATAACTCACTTACAAGGATCCTTAGTTTTTATATGGTTGATATGATTCGTTCAGACGAGAGTGTAATTTATAATTATTTACTAAATACTTTAAATATCTTTATTGGGAAACGTACCACTACTCATAGGAGATTCCAGGAGGGTCTCTCCTGCAATGATCATCAACACCCTTCCATCCCCGTCATAGTTCCTTGTTATTGGACAATTCCTCCTGAAGTGTCCTGGCCCACCACACCTGTAATAGGTCGAGTTTATTCCGATGTCGGGGACCTAGGAGATTGATTGTGCCGATGCCTTGCATAAATGGGCAGTGTACGTCTTCCTGTTGCAAATCTTGTAGTGTAACTCTCGGCATGCTCCATAGTGATGGAAACCGCACTTGTTGCATTTTGGGTGAATCCCAACATATAGTGCTCTCGGTGTTGAGGTGGTAAGGTCAGTATGGGTATGGGCTACTACCACTTGTTGCTTTTTGGTAGGTCCTTGAGTTGAGCTACTTCCTTTCTTTTTCCAAGACTTTCGTTTCTTGTTCTTGGATTTGTGGTTTGGGGTGTCTTGGTAGGTAGCCGCTCGTTGGTGCTCTTGGCTATTTCCACGACTGGAATAGTCGACACCTATTCCATTTCCGCTTGTGCTGTTACCATTGAGTTGTGCCATGATGGCTATCACAGCAACTATCACTAGCTTGGAAAGTGGCGGAGTCTATCCATAGGATCGGTGTTTTGCCGGCGTGTTGGTTGTCTCCATGGGAAGGCATGATTCTGTTGTATGATGAGAAGCGAGTTCATGAGTAACTATAGTTATTTCTAGTTGTATTTCATATATATTCATAGACATACATTTATTTATGTACATATATAAGTCACATGTTTTGTTGTATGATTCTAAAGGCTTCGATCTACATTCCTTCAATGTATTTTTGGTGATACGTAGTGGTAGGTATTAGATGATCGTTAAGTTTAACAAAAGAGAATATAGATTTCAGTACAATTAGTTGGTTCAGATTACATGGGTTCTTGGAGGGTGTACCTATCTTGATTTACTACTACTAGTTATAACGAAATACATAATAAACCTACGACATACCGCGATTAGTGCAGTGATGCTCATATGTCGAAATAGCGCACAAGGTGCTCGGCAATTTCACTCATTTCACGAGTGGCCTCTTCCACCCTCTACTCTGCTAGGGCTACCTTAGCTTCGGCTATAATGAGTTGTTGCCTCATGGTGGCCACTTCTTCCTCTAGGGAGCGTAGACGGTTGGTAGTGTCCTCTTGCTCTGCGTGTTGGTTTGGTATTGCTCCCGAAGGATAAGGCTCACTAAGGATCCCTCCGGTGCCTTCATCCTCATCTGAATCCTCATCAAAATTCTCCCCCTCGTAGTTCATTTTTGGTATTCTTTAGGACCCACTCCTAGGTTCCTCCATTGAACCTCTTCTGGCTCCTCCTTGATCCATTCATTGGCCACTACGGCCGGGTAGTAGGGGTCTTCGTGGTGAAACTCAGCCATGTTGCTTGCGCGAAAATAGAGGTGTGAGAAGTGTGTAGAAGGTTTAAGTGCGAGGGTTATATGGTATCCTAAAATACTCCTATAATATTTTAAACTTCATGTTTGATCCTAATGTCTCTTTGCATGTACAGTTGGTAAGTTTTATAGTTGTTGCAACACCACTATCACTCCCAAACACATGTTGGTCGTATCTCAAATAAATATAGTTGATCATGCTATAGTTATCTCAGATATGATTGCATAACTTTCTAGGTTTGACTGTAGTGTCCAACATCTAAATACTTTTATTTTGTTCTTATTATGACACCGTTCTAATAGGTGTATATATACTTTTATAAAATACTTATACTTTTAAGGTATAATTTTAGTCAGAATGTTTTAGTCCCATTGTATTTATAGTTGTATATCTTGTATGGTTTGATATACTAGTTCACCATAAACAATGCTCTAGTACCAATCTATCGCCCACGAACTAGGACGACAGAAACGTCCGAGGGAAGATGACGTCATTGTGTAGTACCATAACATCTGAATATGAATGAAACATAGCATTACAAGTGACATACATTGAAAATACAAACTTACATTGTTTACATATTGTATTTGTTCACCAGTTACAAAAAAGTGACAAAAAGTAAAATTTCCTAAGGTTGCACCACTTGATCTCGTCGCAGAGCTGATTATCAATTACTGGATCTCTGAGAATACAAGTCATTTTGAAAAGCATAGTTGGATTTCTAGTCAGTAGCAGTGCGGGGATGCAGAGTATGGTGGAATTCAGTCAGTCGATTGTGGGGTGCTCGACACCGAATGATAGTAGGAAGAATGCCCAGTGGGTACTGGCAACGATGACCTGTACTGGGAGTGGCGGGAGTAATAAATTTGGTGAGGAAAGGGTCTTCACTGCGGCAGAAGGGATAGATGGTTATGGAGCATTGCCTTGGGAGAGGCAAGGAAAGTGCGTAAGGAAAGAAAGGGTGAACCCCTACGGGGTCAGTGCAGTATTTGGAGATTACTAGAAAGATTGTCGGTTGAGTAAGTTGTGTTACAGGATGTTCAGGCTCAGGATGGACCCGAGATTATTATCTGTAAGGATTGGCGTTGGTCTGAATGATTGAACGGAAGGCCAGCAAAGTTAGGCAGCTGGTGCTAGAATGGATGGTGGGGCTTTGGAGGCAGATCGCCGGCAGTAGAGTATAGTAAACTTCGAGGACGAAGTTTATTTTAAGGGGGGGGGAGAGTTGTAACACCCAAAGTTTCAAAGGCCAAGAAAGGAAAGAAAAGCCCTAACTTAAGGGTCGACTCGGCGAGTCCAAGGAAGGACTCGACGAGTCCGAGTGGGATCCGAATCAAGGAATAAGTGAACAACTCGGCGACTCGGCCAAGGCGACTCGGCGAGTAGGGTCTATGCGAGGAAAACCCTAAATCCGGGGCTTGCAGCCTATTTAATCGCCTCATTCTTCTTCCTAGTGCTCCTTTACTGTCTCTCACGCCCAGAACGCCGCACCCTAAGCCCCCATTGTGCTCATTCATGCTTTTGGCCATTTTTGAGTGATTTAAAGGAAGAAGAAGTGGGAATCTTTGAAGCATCAAGGAGTGGCTTTGGATCCGAAGTTTGGGGATCATTTCAGATCATTTGAAGGTATTAAGTCGTTTCTCCCCTCCAGATTTTCCTTGGTTATGAGTTTTGGGGCTTTTAAGCCATGTTTGAAATCAATCTCGAGCTTGAGGTCCAGATCTGAGGTTGCTACCTCAGATCCATGCTTGTTTTGGTCTAGAATTCCATAAAGTATCAGCCCTTGAGTGGATCATGGAGTCTTTTTGCCTTAAGCCCTAGTTTTTGGCATGTTTTTCCTAGATCTCCTTCTCTACACGTAAAGTTTGCAACTTTATGTGTGGAATAGGCTTGGGAAGGGTAGATCTACAGTTTGGAGTCCATGCATGACTCTAAAATCCTCTGCATGTAAGGAGAACTGAAGGGACTCGGCGAGTCCTTTGAGTGGACTCGGCGAGTAGCATGAAGTTGTGGAGAAACTCGACGAGTGGGATGAACAACTCGTCGAGTCGTATGAAGATTGCCTTGTACTCGGCGAGTCTGTTCTTGGACTCGGCGAGTCAGGTCGCGAAACCCCAAACCCTTCGAGTTGAGACTCGAATCAATGAGTCGGGTGGAGACTCAGTGAGTTGGACAGGTCTGGACTCAGAAATCGGTAGACTCGGCGAGTCATGGACTGACTCGGTTAGTCGAGTCATGAATGGAAGGAATCTGAATATTATGAACTCGGCGAGTCAGTAGGGTGACTCGGCGAGTAGGGTTGACCTGGAAGGTTGACTTTGACCAGGACTTTGACCTTGGACCAGGGTGGACTTGCTTGTCTTTCGGGGGTCAGTTAGACTCAGTGTTGCATTGATATTGATAGTTCGAGGAGCAAGGGGAGCAGGAGTTCCGTGAGTTGTCGGGCAGCAACTAGTGAGATCATCAGCAAGTCCAGCCAGTTCAGGTGAGTTTCTCTTTGTGTGAATGGGTCTAAGGCCACAATGCCAGCCCATGTAGTTATAAGTAGAAGACCCGGGGGTTAGCCCTAGGTACAGTATGCTAGTATTATTTTCAGGACGAGGTCCAGTAATAGCGGGCGGGTGCCCGAGGAATTGTTTATATGATAGTTTATACTTGTTGTCTGTGTGATACATGTATGTGCCTGGTAGGGAGGTGAGTGTGGGCGAGGTCCCGTATCTCACCAGTAGCAGAGTGTGGATGGGGTTCCATATCTCATTAGTAGCAGAATAGGGGCGAGGCCCGAACTAGAACAGGAGTGAGAGTGGGCTAGGCCCGTACCTCACTACCATTAGTAGCGTGGACGGGGCTCCATGACTCATCAGTAGCAGGACATGGGCGAGGCCCAGGATATGCGAGGCCTTAGGACAGAACCAGTTGCATGTGTTAGTTATGTGTTGGGAAATGTTTATGTGTTATTATTTGTTGACGGGCGAGGCCCTGTGACAGGCGAGGCCTAAGTAAAACGGATCTGTATCCGAGCGGGGCTCGAAGCCAGGCGGGGCCTGGAGCGGCGGGGCCGTTGTAGCGGGCGAGGCCCGAGGTAGGGGGCGAGGCCCAAGATAGGGGGCATGGCCCAGTATGTGCAGTATATGGTTATGCATGGTATGTGGTAGGTGGGGAACTCACTAAGCTTCGTGCTTACGGTTTTCAGTTTTGGTTTCAGGTACTTCCGGTAGCGGAGGGAAGAGCTCGGGGTGATCGCATGGCACACACCATAGATTAGACAGCCTGGGAATGTTTACTCTGATAATGAACATGTGTTTTGAAAACTTATACTCATATTATGTTTTGGAATGATGACTTTACTTTAAGTAATGATTTATTAAAAGAAATTTTTGGTCTTAAATTTTGGGTCGTTACAAGTTGGTATCAGAGCCTTGGTTTGAGGGATTCGGACATGCCCTCGGGGGTGTCTGAACTCAAACTGAGGAATTGGTAAAGAAGTTTTCAAATGAAAAGACAGTTTGTAAAAAGGGAGTTTTGCTAATGAAAATAGTTTTAGAAAAGCAAAAAGAATTCGGAGAGATAAAAACTTTGAAAAGAGAAAAGAGGTGTGGTGCATGCAATCAACCGAGCTCAAGTAAGTACCCCAAAATACCCATACAAGTTTATGTTTTGATTATCAGTTAATAGAACAACATGCTAGATTAGGACTAAGGATCTAGGGAGGATGCCTTATGTGCCTGTTATATGTGCTTTTGATCTGCATGATAGTGCTGAATAGTCAGTAGTAGGATAGCCTGATTAGGTTATGCCTGAGTTTATGAGTTGTGTTGCATGCTAGTTCAGATTCTTGCTATGTGGATATGATTGCTTGAGTATGTTATGGTTAGATTTTCCCTTGTCTGAATGTTGCTTGCTTTGTGCATTGTGGGATTCTAAGTGATGGGAGTTAGCCATTAGGTGGATACGTCACGTCACATGAGATTAGGGTTGAATAATCTCAGAGTGTTGGATTTGGTCCTATTGCGCAGCTCTTGTTTGAGTCCAACCGTTGTAGGAACGAGTCTTTTACTTGAAGGATTATCTGAGCCTCGTTACAAGTGATGGTATCCAGGTGATGGCTAATTGGCATTGCGAGGAGGCCTTCAGCAGCTGAGGACTGGTTTGAGTTGAGTCAAAGGTTTCCCTAGGGTAAGCCTAGGATGAGGTAGTGCTGGGAGCAGTAGAAGTAGAAAAGGGACCTGGTGGAGTCAAAGCAGTTCCTGAGGAAAGTACGGATAGATGTGGAAGGTAGTATGGGCCCGTACTACTGAAAGCAGAGGATCCGTACTCGATTCAGGAAAGGCCGAGACAAGACCGGGAACCTGGAGTGAGTATGTTTAGCCTCGCAACAGTGAGGAGTATTCTGATAGCGGTTATGTTATATGTTTCAGTATGGTGACATTGCAAGATGGACCAGCAGGCGGATCAGGCGCCGGAGAGGGATTGAGCTCGGGTTTAGGGGACGAGCAGCTCGAGGAGCGGATGAGAGAGTTGATATCAGCGGAGGTTACTGTGACATCCCCAAAATCTCGGCTAGAAAAGACCGGTTTCATTTATGCTTTTTAAACATTTTCAGAGTAAATCCTTTTAATTTTAAAAGAGATGCGGAATTTGTTCCCAAAAACAAAACATGATAAAATAGATATTTATCAAACCTTTCATAAAGAAATATGATTTCATTTCATAATCAAAGTTGGGATGTCATGTTCCGATACAGATCATAAAGCATAAACGATAGCATTACAAGTCATTCAACAAATATATACATATACAGACTTGTAAACAAAACAACTTGATGTTCGCCCATCTTAAGCTCTTGCGCCACTTCCTGTAAA